GTGTGCGCTTGCACACACCGACCTGTGAGGCATTTGTCTCCCTAGAACGCCACTAACCCGCCGACAATCGTACGATTGTCGTCGGGTTTTCGAATCTGCTCGGGAGATAAAAGACCTGCGACAGTACAGTAGAAACGGTCGCACGCCTTCCATACACATGCCGTTTATCGTACGATCGCGGGATTTCCCGCGATTATCGTACGATAATTGGCAGGTGTATGGGCACCTTTAACCGGGAGCAAATAGAATCTGGAGCAGCTGTGCATGGCAACCAATTAGCTTCCAAGTCCATTTCCAAAGCTTACTGAACAAGCTGAAGAGAGAAGCTGACCCATTGGAATGGTAAGCATAACTTCTTTTCCTTGCAGGGAGCACGTTTTAACTGTTTTTAAATCTAGCGAGAGAGTAACTTTAACTTTCTGTAATATATTCGCATAAATTTGCTCCATCCGAAAATGTGGAGTTAAATGTGTGACTTCACCTCTATTTTTGTCTTTGTGCTAAAACTTTAATGACCCTCTTTTCACAACGGACATGCTGAGACAGATAGACTTATCCCTAATTACTGTTTAACTTCCCACACAAAAAAACTCTGCAGACTGCTCTGTAAACTTGAATACTGCAGCAAGGTCAAACGTCTGATACCAAGTAGCAATAAGGACTCATGCACATGGACGTAATACAGGGGCTGCTGAGCTTTTGTGCCCATAGGAAAGTATTACCAGAATACGCTATATACAGGTGTATGTGTGCGCATAAATATGGATGTAAATTCCCAAACACAAAACATTTGCTTTCCGGAATTTACGCCTATACATGTGCAAATACAGTCGATGCGGCTCCCATGGAGGGCTGTTCCTACCTCATTCGCCACCTGAGGCTGACCGAGCTGTCAAGTGGGGGGCAATTGTGGGTCGTGGTGGAGGGAAGCTGTTAGTCGGCTGCCCAGCCGCCACCCCCAGTGAGATGCTGCCTCATTATGCGGATGTCCCTGCTCCCATGAACCACAAATATAGGCATATGTTACACTATATGCCCAAATGCCTGTATTTACAACCGTGTGCATGAGCCCTCATTGCATAGATTGTTTTATCTTGTGATATTCACTGAAAACATGAATGTGTCTGTAAGAATAAGCAATGAAATTATGTATAGAACAGGTAAGTTCCCCCTCCTGGTCATGTCTGTCTTCGGCTAACAGAAGGTCCTATAGGAGTCTATGGGGCTGTAATGTGCCAGTGTGGCCAGCAGAGGGAGGGTTGCAGCACTGGATATAAACAATAGAGGAATCGTACCCATCGGATATAGGTCAGTACAGATCTGAGGAGGGGGGGACATTTAGGTCAGGAAGGGGTCAAAAAGGACAAGTGTACTTTTTTTGAAAGAGCATGTATCTTTCAAGGAGAACATATATTATAAAAAAAAATACACAAGAAGAAGTGAACTTCACTGAAAAATGCAAGTCCAAATAATGCTCAAATCCAGAGGTTAGGAGTGAAATGATTTTGCCAAACGGGTCAATCACTGTTTTGTTAATTAAACTGCAAGTAAAGGGATTTTTTTTTCATTTTGGATAGAGTTGGGAGAGGTTAGACCATGGATGGGCAACTCCTGCCTTCCAGTTGTTGCAGAACTACATGTCCCATGAGGCATTGCAAGACTGATAGTTACAGGCATGACTTCCAGAGGCATGTCGGGGTTTGTAGTTAAAATACAGCTGGAGGGCCCGGAGTTGCCCACCCCTGGGTATACCATTCATGGTTTCACTGCTGTCTTTATCCTCACTGGCAAGATATACCCTCCTTATAGGTCCTGGTAAACATTATCTCCATTAGGGTCAGGTTCACATCATTTTCCGGACCAGATTTGGAATGCGGTGCTTGCATTATGCCGCATTCCGAAGCTTTTTTTTTTTTTCTTGAAATGGGCTTTCAGGTGCATTCCAGACCAGAGAAAATGAGACAAGCAGTATTTTTTTTGTCTGGTCCAGAATGGACTGCGTTGGTGTGAACAGAACCCAGAAATATCATAGGGATACATTAGGATGCTTTTTTGGAACAAACTGTTCTAGTCTGGACTCGATCCGGACATGGCGTGAACAAGCCCTATAGAAAGTGATAGGAAATCAATATTGTTGAGTTGTCACCAGAACAGGAGGTGAGGGGAACTATTACAATGGGGTCACCTGGTTGGTGACAACTGGAAAGGAATATCCCCTCACTTTGGAGAGATCTCCTCTCGGGTCCTGCTATGTTTTGGGGATGGGAAGTGGAGGAGAAAATCCCAGATGATAAAAACACAGGAACAAAATAACCTGATGGTGTTTTAAACATCCCCGACCAAAAAAAGAAGTTTTAACTTTATACATTTTAGGCTGCGTTCACACCTGACCGTTTTGTAGCTCGTCCTACGCTCGACGAACGCGCTACAAAGGCGTATTTCCGCCCGTCCCTAACGCCCTACAAAACGGCCCACGCCTGAAAAGGTCCCGGGACTACTTTGGGCCGTTTTGTAGGGCGTTTTCCATTGGGATACAGCCAAGTAGCCTTTGGAATCGCGCGACGGTCGCGCGACTTTTTTACCGCGAATCGCGGTAAAAAAAAACGCGTGACGGTCGCGCGACAGACGCGCATATTACAATACGCCTAGGTGTGAATGGGGCCTTTAGCTGCTCAGGTGAAATCTGCTTAACCATTTGCTGACCAGGTGTTACACCCCCTTCCTGGCCAGGCCATTTTTCAGTAGGCCATTTTTGCAGTGGGCGGGTGCAATAGCCAGCTTGCTATTGGCTATTGCATTTTACAATAGCCAATAGCAGGCTGGGTACGGCTCCCAGCCTGCAGATGAAGAGGAGGCAGGGGGGCGGGGCAGAGGAGTCGCGGCCAGACGGGGGAGCGGAGGATCGTCCGGAATGGGGAAGAGAAGCCGACCGATCGGGGGAAGAGGAGGCCGGGACAGCAGTGGAGGTACGGGGGGGCAGCAGCGCCAACACAGCCGGGGAGAGCAGCGCGGATTTGAAGGGACACAGGCCGCTGCAGCCACAGTTCTCCTAATTGTACCGGCGGCTGCCAGTACATTTAGGAGAACTGTGGACACCGGTTCGTAGGTACCGATTGTCCGTAAGTTGAACGTCCGTAACCCGGGGACTGCCTGTATTTAATCACCACTATATATTGAGGAAAAATTACTGACATTTTTTTTTACATTGTGTTATAATACAATTATTATTATTACATTTTTTGGTAAAATATAAAATACAGGGTCACGTCGGGTAAATAGACACCAAACATGTCAAGCCTTAAGATTGCGTGCGCCCACGAAACCTAAATAAAACTACCATACCCAAAATTGACCATAGGCGACGCTTTAAAAGCTTTTACCGTTTAGTGTTATCAGTGTATAATAGCCCTAAAATTATTGCTCTCACTGCCACGTTCGTGGTGATATGTAACATGTGCGGCGTAATGGGCGCAATCGTGGTTTCGCACGTATATGCGCACCCGACGCATGTTTACACCCGTGTATGTATCGGATGGGGACTTTTTTTATCATGTGTGACTTTATTTTTTTTTGCAACTAATGTTTTTTCCCACTTAACTTTATTGTTATCACATAGAGGGATAAACCCCCCCCCCCCCCCCGTGTGATAGCAAAGAGATGTGACAGGTCCTCTTTATGGAGACATCAGGGGGTCTCCAAGACCCTTAATGTCACCTAGGGACCCCCAAAGAAGCGGATGAAGCACAGATCTGCTTCATTAGCTTTTCTCCGGCTTCTGAAGCTGGAGAGTGACACGAGACTGCGGAAGTGATGTCATATATACCACTTCCGCATTCTGACACAGGAGAGGGAATCAGAAGGAGATTGTGTACCATTCACCCTCTGATCCCCTGTGACAGAGCCCCCATGCTGGTCTCGGGCTTGCACTGGGCACAGCAGAGCCTGGGACCTAAATGCTGCAGAAAGCAGCGCCACATAATGATGCAGGCAGGGTCGTCCCTATAATCAGGCAGCCTCAGGCGGCATCTCATTGTCATTGATGTGTGAGGACCCTCTCCACTTAGCTCTGCCCCCTGGCCGCCGAGACGAGGAAGAGGGCACTGCAGGAGAGAAAAGGTAAGTCTGGAGTGGGAAGTGGGGGGCGGACCCCCATACATCGCTGTTAGTTAGCTCTGTCTGCCATCCCGTCCAGCTCAATGGCATCACTGGCTTCCAGGAGCTCGGAGGGACTAAAACCAGAGCATCCAGCAGGCGGAACGCCAGGGCCCGGTCGCAATTGCGACCGCTGCCACCTTTTCTTCAAGCAAAACCCGAACACTCTAGAGACGCACAGACATTTTTTCTAGGGAGAATGAGTCGCGGCTTATTCATATGTAAATAGTGCCGCCCATTCATATGTAAATATTACAGTCGAGACCATTTTCAGTGGGGGGCCAGTAGCCCCCATCTTAATTTTGGTTGCCCCTGTCTGCCTGATATCTTGTGTCCGGGTTTCTGCTGCCATGAAACCCGGACACAGCATTCAAAACCCGAACTGTCCGGGTGAATCCTGGACAGGTGGCAACCCTAGCTGCAACCCTGGTAGTTCCACCAGTGCTGTCAGGATTCCACGACCCACACCCCGTAAAAACCCACAGAGATGGCCCTGGACGTCAGCTCCGCTCTGCTGCAACATTTTGTGAACATATGATATCCTGATGGTGCACCACCGGGGGGCGATCACCATTCAAGCCACGAGACATCCGGTGCCGTGGACTGCACTAGAGCGGAGGTGACTATTGCAGCAAGAACTTTTTTTTTTTTCCATTCTATGCTAGCCAATATATATTTTTAATCTATTTTATGGAACTGGAGTTGGTCTTTAAGTGTGTGACGTCTGCCTAATGGCTCAGATCAATAATGAGTTTTATGCAATCTGTCCCAGGACTATATTTGAAGGAGCCGGCGGAAAGATATACTAGTACGCAGCAGCGGAGTGATATCTCACATATATTCACATCATGCGGAAAGCATGTTGGGCTCTACTGCGCCCACTCACTGCGCTCATTGCTCCCTCTGCCAGACGGCAGGCCAGCGCCACCTATCTGCTCAGCTTCATACTGCAGCACACCGAAGTGGTCACCGATCATCTGACCCCGGAGCTGAGACTTCTCCTGCTCACCCGGCGCTGCAAGTACTGGCATCTCCGCCCCGAGTACTGGCCCTACAGTGACCCCTACTGGGCGATCTACTGGCCTGGAGGACAAGCGCTGGCCCGGTGAGTGCATACGGTAGGAACGCTACGGAGCTGTTGATTAGTGTGGACAGAGCACCATCTAGTGGCTAAAGATTGGTATTACAGCCGGTGTGTTTTTCTATGGGAAGTTCGAACATTGTAGCCTTTTAGTTTAGTGATTAAACTACAAGTCCCATGAGGCATTGCAGGACTCTTGCATCCACAGGCATGACTCCCAGAGGCATGATGGAACTTGTAGTTAAATCACAGCTGGCGTGCCAAGGTGATACGGAGTGGCTGGGTTATCAAAGGAGTAAAGCAAAATAATTTTGCAAAGTGAATTTTCACTTACCTTAGTAAATGTGGGGAAAGTTCACCTTGAATAGAATTCCTGATCACACGGAAGAAAAAAAAATATGATTTTTGCTTGCACGTGATAATTGCCGGATGATAGAAGTTAGCAGAGCTTGACCCCATTCACTAAGCTTAGTGATCATTGCCTTTCAAAGTGAAAATGCTTGGCTCCTTTAGTAAATCAGCTACACATATGATGAGATTCTTCATTTATTACATTGATGCATTTATTAGAGAAGACCTAAGGTCTAGATAAAGAAGGAAACTGTTTGTAAATTAGCAGCTGGTAAAGCAGATCTAAACCCGATCATTATTATTTATTCCAGGTTTTTTATATAGCTGACACAGCACTGGAGCAGGAGGTGAGGAGAAACCTTCCTGTGTGGACTCCTGTCTAAAGGTGCCCATACACTGCACAATTCTCGTACGAGAATCGCGTGAAATCCCGCGATCGTACGAGAGTTGTGCAGTGTGAATGAAGACGTGCGACCGTTTCTACTGTACGGTCGCACGTCTTTTGTCTAAGGAGCACGCTAGAAAACCAGCCGAAAATCGTACGATTTCCGGCTGGTTTGAACGGTGCTCGGGAGACAAATGCCGAACGGGCCGGTGTGCGCACGCGCACACTGCCCGTTCAGCATTGCGGTCATCGGAAGCCCGCCCCTCAGGGGGGAAGGCTTGCGATGATCGCAAGTACGATCTGCCTGTCCAAGATGGGCAGATCGTACGTTTTTTTAATTACTTTACAACCATCGCAAGACTAAGGTCATGGTTGTAAAGTGTATGGCCACCTTAAGAAGGGAATTTCACTCTCTAAGAAGAGCTGTTCTTTCACTTTTTGTTGTGTCCCCTGGACAGGAAATGAAGGAAAGTCTACACCAAAAATGTAAATAAAGGCAGTATAATAGCTCAGTGGTTAGCGCTTCTATCTTGCAGCACAGGTCCGGCCAGGACACTGTCTGCATGGAGTTTTCATGTCCTCCCTGCGCTTGCATGGGCAGGGAATGATGTGAATAAATAGTATGTAAAATGATATATTAATATCTGTAATAAATAAATAAATATACACGTAAAAGTGCTGCGTAAATAAGAAACGTGACCGAGGATTCAGCCGTGCTATTGTCCAACTTGATGGACTTTTTTCAACCTATGTAGCTATGACTTTTTCATATTTGGCCAGTAGATGTCCCTATAAGATCACCTTCATAACACAACAAGCCTGGAGAATTCCATTCTTGTGTTAGATCAGGGGTAGAGAATACATAGAAAATAAATGGGGCTTTTAATGTACAAAAGTATAAAACCGAATACATTTTATTTCTTTTCATAAAAACAATTTATGAAACACGATTCAAATCCAATCTCTGCATTGATTCATAACACAGCCTCCTTGAAAGCACCCAATTACTTCACAGTATCATGTATGCCGTACACGAGCTGGTATCTAGTCCATGTCATAGTAAGCGATCCAAGCCAACCTGCACATTCAAAAGTAAGTATCGTTGTGTTGGTTTTAATCGCGACGCGTTTCGCCTTAGCTTCCTCAGAGGGAGGAGTTCTGTGTTGATGATCATGAAGAGCGGCAGGGCTACCAGGATAAAAGCATACAATGCACCACTTTTGTGGAGACCGAATGGATGGGTCCAAATGCCCACTGAATGCCCATGCTAGTATCTATCATGGGTGCTGCTGGAGTGGCTGCCATCTTCTCATGTGATGTGGACTGTGGCTCCTTAATTGTGGCAGCCACAATTACATTGATTTAAAAAAAATAAAAATGTTTAAAAAAATGTAATAAAAAAATAAAAAGGTGATTTAAAAAGTAAAAAATAAGAAAATAATTATAATACAAGTCAGATGACTTTTGTTTTGTCTTTCTTTTTAAACTGATGAAGAATATATTTTCTTATATTATATATGACATGACACTATGAATTCCTTTTTCCATATTACCTTTACAGATACCTGCTAGATAACCCAGACGTTGTGCGACACAAACAGATATTAGATCTCGGGAGCGGTTGTGGAGCAGCGGCCATTGCTGCAGGAAGGGGAGGAGCTTCTTATGTAGTAGCCAATGACATTGACCCAGGTGAGATGTGAGGAAATAATGGCATGCGGCAAAATACCCGTGTGAGAAAATCTAGATGACAGCTGACTTTATCTGGCAACGTTGTCTGGTGCCATTGTCATGCTGACTAATGGCTTCAGGGCTTTCTTAGTCAGTGACCTGATGCAGGGATTATCTTCACTTGCTGCATGCTTAATATAGGTCTGTGTCATATAATCAGCATGGCAGCCATATACCTAAAAGCCTCCATATTTCCCTAATGACAGTTTTTTTTTTACCATGAAGTCTTATATGCTACAGTATACGAATACCCTGCTAAACCAGAGATGCCCCTTCTGTGCACCTCCCTGTATTGGTTTCACTTTAATATAAAGTGCTTAAAGCTCAAGTCTAAGGAAACATTTTTTTTTTTTACATACAGTTATCTCTAATAAGGTGTATGCTGTATAGTATAAAAACCTTACTTTGCAGCATGCCCACTCCAACGTAGTGCCGGGCTTTGGGGTGCTGCCGGGGTGAGAGATGCGGCTAGAGCACTGAAGGACTAAAGTCACTCCTTGTCCATTCACAAATGTCTGTCTCATAGAATACAAGGCGTTCTGTGAATGGAGGACGAGAAGGGTAGGCCAGGATGTGACAATCAGATTGTATGGTAAGCTTAACAGGAAGAGACAAAGCACACAAAGGTGTCCAGGAACAGCAGAGCCTCGCAGGTGAACAGGAGCAAAGTTGGGAATTATGGTTGGGAGTTCTGACTGTCAGGGTATCCAAAACTGTTAAAGCAGATCCCTTGCTTGTCTACCCCCCGAGCTGCAAGGATTAAGTGCTCATTTTCTGTCTAGGTTCAAAAATAACAAAGTTATAATCACTCACCCGATCCTCTGAGCTGGCTTGCTCCTAGGCCAAAATCTTCTGCCTCCCCCCTCCTCTGTGGCAGGGATGGTATGTCCCTCTGCGTCCTATACACAACCTATACACAGTGTTATAGTTCTGGATACATTGGGGATTAGCAACCTTGCCGGATATTTTGTTGTCTGTCCCATGCTAGGGTGAATCACCCTCTCTATATGTCTTGCTGACTGTTGTCATGGTGACTGGAAGTGAGGAAGAATCTAAGATTTAGATTTGTCTCCAGAAGAGGAATCGAGGGGAAATCTTTCAATGGGTTCCGGTGACAATTGTCTAAGAGGGGATTTCCTTCACTTTGGAGAGATTTCCCCTCACTTCCTTTTGTGCCAAAATGTTGATCCTCATCTGAACATCAAATGTTATATTGGGCTGGATGATTGTTTCTTTCCATTCTTCTTCTAATGTATTCCCTTTCCTCGGCTTCATCCAGTGGCAGGCGCAGCGCTTACACTGAACTGTCAGCTGAACGGCCTGCAGCCTCTGCCCTTCCTCTCCGAGAATATCATCGGTGTGGACACACGTCCGTGGGGTCTGATTGTCCTCGGCGACATGTTTTATGATGAGCAGTTGGCTGATGGTCTCCACCAATGGCTCAGACAATGTATAGACCAGCACGGGACTACTGTCCTCATCGGGGACCCTGGAAGGGGACAATTTATTGATCATCCAATACAGAAACAGCTGCAGAAATTGGCGGAATATCCCTTACCGGAATCCAGCAAGCAAGAAAACTACGGACTGACCTGCACCGCTGTCTGGAAGTATCAGCCCTGACTTTCTTCATTTAGGACCGTAGCAAATTCATTTTTGGACCCATTTTCATGTTGTTTTTTAAGCTTGCCTCTTTCTGCTGATTATGCTTCTGTGACAGCAGCCCACATCTCCATACTGGTACCTGAAGTATGCAAGTGAACATCAATCCCTGTAATATGCACACACTAACTACAAATCCCAGTGTCCTTTGTACCCCAGCATGTGTTCTCCCTGCAGTGAGGCTGTGACGTCATGCGCTACGCTTCCAAGATGGCTGGGGGCATGCGCAGAACGTGAAGGTGGCCAATATGGCCGACGCGCATTTTGCAAACGCATTTATATATGCCCGAATATAGTTTTTGTATATTTGGGCATATAATACATTTATTATTTCGGATTCGGACGAACCGCCAAATCAACTGAATTTCCTTGATTTGCAGGTTCATCTGAATCGGAATGCACATGTCTAGTGCATGGTATGCATGCGACCCGTGTTATATGATAATCTACGTATATATTTGTTATTAAAGTCGTGCCCCTGGTCCAAAGTTAGGAATTGTGGCTGAATTTTGGAAACATGGTTTAGTTAACAGGGTCACTTACAGATCATCGGAGTCTGGACACTCCACGTGGATCTGTAAATTGATGAGCTATCAGGCCCCGTTCACACTGAGCGATCTATCACGCGGTAATTCCCGCGATATCACGGCTATTTACCGCGCGATATCGCTCTCCAATGCATCTCAATGGGGCTCTGCCTGTAGCTGTGGCGGGTCGTGCGTCGCTACAGCAGGACCCTTTTTGGAGCGGATTTTGCCGCGATTCTAGCTCGCTCAATGCAAGCATTTGCGCGATATCGCGCAAAATACAAATCGCTCAATGTGAATGGGGCCTTATTGTTCTGGTTAGTCAGACCTCACAAAGTGCATTACGACACTCCATTACGAGGTTTACGACACATGTATGACATATCTCTGGTGTTCTGCTAATACATGTTATTGTAAGCTTTGTTCATGGCAGTTACAGATTCATTGTGAATTGAAGGACTTTTAAAGAAGAACTCCAGGTTTCAGAATAATTAACCCTTGCAGTGCGGGGGTAGCCATAACTGCTTGTTTTCCTCCTAGAGGCTCAAATAAAGAAGAAATACTCACCTGGTCCTAGGTCCTGCCGCAGTGACCGCTCATCTGTCACCCTCCGCTCCAGCTGTGGTATGTCCCTCTAGGTCCTTATGTCTAATACAGGTGACTGGACTGCATGCGATGTGATGACTTCAGCAGGGCTTAGATCGCTGGAGCCTATGAGAGGATCAGGTGAGTATTTCTTCTTTATTGGAGCCCCTAGAGAGAAGTGAGCAGGTGCAAGGGTTAATGTTTCTCAAACCTGGAGTTCTCCTTTAAAGACTTTAAACATTTAAAACATTTTTTTTTTTAATCGGTAGGCTGGTTTAATCATGTGTAGAAGTGGCGATTTTCAACAACATAAGGGGACGACGGGGGTTCCTGACTTGTTTTGGGGTGCCCAGACCTCATTACTGTCACACCTACCACTCCCATCATGCTTCAGTTTTTTGCTAGTGTCCTAGGAGGATGGATGTCTTTTCTCTTTGGAGAAAGTTTTAATAATTTGAACTAGATACTTTTAAATTTTTCCACAAATTTTTTTTCCATCAATCAACATCATCTTACATCTCGCTGCAGGGAGGAACAAGTGCATGGGTGCAACTTCATCTGAGCTGAGCAGATGATGATTACGGATGAGCTTGTCCTTGGTTCCCTCCTCAGACCAAAGATTTGGGGCTCGCCTGTAATGTGACCCTTGGGCACAGGGGTGTGCTTGTAGTAGACACCTGCAGGGTTATTCACAGAAGGGTGAAGAGTTTGGAGAAGGCAGGAGAAGTGAACAATCTAGGACAACATAGCTGAACTGGAAAGTGAGCGGAATTGGAGAATATTTCCAAATCAGCTATGTTGTCCTAGATTGTTCACTTCTCCTGACTTCTCCTAACCCTTCACCCTTTTGTGAATAACTCTGCTAGTGTTCTATTTGTTCATCACGAAGTGTTCTTAAAGCCTACAACAGTAGTGAAGCATCGGGATGTTTCATCAAACATACCTATCTCCTGTTTTTGACAGATGCCCCCCCCTCCCCCCTCTACCGGCCACTTCTGATTTATGACCAGCACACATAGCCCATTTCCAGTTTTGACTTGTGAACTGACCATTACTGCCCACTTTCGATTTTTGACTGGCTTATCTCAGGCCACTTCCAGTTATAGTCTCATGATCCGCCCACTTTCACTCACTCCGGGTTTATAACTGGTGACCATACCCACTTTTGCTATAACTATGTTCAGGTGCTGGTAAGCACACCCACTTTTTGTCTCACCTCTATCCATATATAGCAATGCGCTGGGATATATCCGGACATATGTGGCGAGGAGCTAGGACTCGGACATATAAATACAGTTCAGACATTGGTCCAGCAATATTATTTCTAGAGCTGAATATATGGTAGAATAGTGAGAAAATACTTCAGAGACAATACTTTACACCTAAAGCACTGGGTTCTTGTATCAGACCGGAATATTTGTGCAAAGGTGTTCAGCTATACATATTTATAATGTTTATACCTATTTAATATAATTTGGGTAATAAAACCACCTCATCTTGTATTGTCTCCACGAATTAGATAATAATGCCACCCTTTACTTGTATTAGACTATGCCAAGAACATGAAATTGGTCTTCTTGCACAGAACCTATAGCTCCCTATGCCAAGGTCAGAAAACATGTTATGACTTTCTATCATTGAACTCTTGTTACTTCAACCTACAAAGCTAAATGTTCTACATGTTGCTTATTCATACAACTCATTATATACACTATATTGCTAAAAGTATTGGGACACCCCTCCAAATCATTGGATTCAGGTGTTCCAATCACCTCCATGGCCACAAGTGTATATAATCAAGCACCTAGGCATGCAGACGCTTCTACAAACATTTGTGAAAGAATGGGTCGCTCTCAGGAGCTCAGTGAATTCAAGCGTGGTACCGTGATAGGTTGCCACCTGTGCAATAAGTCCTTCCGTGACATTTCCTTGCTACTAAATATGCCGCCGTCACATGTTAGTGGTATTATAACAAAGTGGAAGCAACTGGGAACAACAGCAACTCAGCCACGAAGTGGTAGGCCACATAAAATGACAGAGCGTGGGCCATGCAGCTGCATCCAAGCCTTTCATCACCAAGTGCAATGCAAAGCATCGGATGCAGTGAGGATAGTGTATATGCATTTCAGTTGTCCTTCCAATGTTGAACCCCTCAGTTACAAGGTCTCCCAGTCTTTTACTTCAGATAGATTTTAGAGTAATTAGCTAATCCTGTGTGTAAGGAAAGTATTCTATATATGTTCATGCATAGTAAGGATTTTGAGCTTTAAATATCTGCTGGGAAAGTTCACGTATTAAATCTGCACAGTCTTTTGTCATCAACTCATACTGAGAGTTTCATTAGCTGCATTTCATAGATACATAGTCCTGTTTTACTAATATTTGGAATCATAACCTGTGGTTTTAACTTCATAGTGTTATATTTGCTAATAAATCGCATTGCATTTTTTGAACCCTATTATTTATTGTCTGCAAAAATATTTTGTTTATTA